AAATGTACGCGTAAACTTTTCTCACCATCTTTCGCGTATCGAGAGGGCGAGTTGCGAAAATTCCGTGGTGATTTCTTTATTATCGCGGCGCCACCGTTACCCAGACTGAACTGAAACTGCCGGAAGACGCAAATGGGTTCGGACAAATAAACTTCTGGACAATCGTCGTTTTGGCGTACGAGTTTTCCTTATTTTCGTGGAAGCATTGGAAATTCAAAGTTCACCCGCGTTTTACGTTTCATATCCGTTCCATCACGCGAAACGACCTCTTTCTTATTAGAAATTCCGAAGATTCATTGGAAAATTAATTTTTGTAATTGCTACTGAAATATTTGATATACATACGTTATGGTTGACAATATAACATTTTTTACTTGTGTCAACTCAAATGTATTATGGAGAGAACAAACTTCATAAATTCGTTCGAGTGCAATCAAATTATTTGCTCAGTTTTTTTCTGGTTTATTAAATACTTAAAATTCGTGATTTTTAATGAAAATGGCTTTATTACGTTAGATATCACAATATTTAAAGTTTTAAGCGATCTATGTAAAAACATATCTATATTTTAAAGAAATCTATGTGCAACGACGTACTTGGTAACCAAACAGTTCGTTGAGCATGTATCAGCCAAATTATTTGATCGGCTCTATCTAAATCTGGTTATAACAATTAAATTAATTCTTCAATGTTCGCGTTTCGGGGCAGTCCGAGGCTTTTCCCTAAAACTTCAGAGCAATCTCGGAATGCGTGTATCTCATCCTCACACCGTCCACGCGAATATTCGTGCGAAGTATTCCTCGCTTCAACGAGGAAAGAGATATTCCGCAGGAAGATACCGTGTCCAGATTGATAGGATGTTCGAACACAGTGGGTTATTCGTGCACGGTGCGACGACGTTCGGAGGATGATGGAGGTTCGGACAATAGAGGTTCTGCTGTATTATACAGGTATTAAACAATGGTCATTGGATACATGGCGTGTTGCCCGTTCGCCAGGCCGAATAGCGATCGCGTTTACCTCCAAGCTTGACAATTTTTTCCTGTTCTCGAACAACGATCGATTCCCAACGTCTTCCTCCGCTCGTTGACGCAAGAGCATCCTGCCGAGCGGTGATCTTTGCTGATCGCGTCTGTTCTCGCGCCTAAGTGTCCGGTAAAAAGGTCAATTAAGCCGCGATTAGCGAGCCAACCGACGAAATCGGCTCGCGAAGAGAGCATTTTTTGCTCGCGCGCATGTGCACAGGGAAAGGATGAAACAACACCGCCAACGACGTTCCCGCGATACGCTTCGTTACGTTACAGAAAGTAAAATTCCGACAGACTCGGTTAACGATTCTCGTGAATAATGTATCGAGAAAGAAGCCTCGTTCATCTCAAACGATCCCAGCCGAGTCTCTTTAAATTAACCGATCATTCTCTTATTTTCATTCTCTCTCATTCTTTTCCTCCCCTCTTCTCTCTCTCTCTCTCTCTCTCTCTCTTTCCTCCGCTCGGATGTTACGTTTGGATTTTCATCCGGACATTGTCGGTCCTTCGCGTGCGATCACAGTAATTTAACGTGTAATCAAAGAGTTGTTCTCTCTTTCTTTTATCTGTCCGACCGTCGTAAATGGATGGAAGTGCGAACGATAGAAGATAGAACGATAGAAGAAATACACGTTGGACGCAATTCCGTAAGTAACGTGACTGTTTTCGTGAGAAGTGAGAAGTGAGAAAAATTACGCTTCCCAAAATCTATTATGATTAGAACGGCATATCGGTATTCGTGGTATTCACAGTAGCTATTTCAAATTTCGCATTACATTAACTGTATATAGCGAGTTCTTTTCATAGTACGGTTTGAAAGTTCATAACAAAGATAATGAACGATACATTACAAGCTTTCGGAGCAGTTTTATTAAGAGAGGCGGCAAAAATATATATAGAACGCCTATATTTTACAAATTTAACGACAGCTCAAGAAAAACAGTGACCAAAGCGACCCATTTTGGAAGATTTAGATAGATTTCTTAGTAACTTGTCAAGAAAAAGTGATAAAAAATGATAAAAGGTTACTGGATGACAGCGCTGGAATTTGCCTTATTTATGGAATAAGTTAATATGTAAACAGACAAATAGATAAAAAAAAAGAAGAAAAAAAGGAACAGAAAAAGTGACGCGCTTGAGAGGAGAAATATTAGCGGTAAAGAAAGGGGAAGAAAAATATGATCATGTATCGAGAAGAATTCCCTAGAGCGCGGAGAGGAAATATACAGCAGAGGTAAACGCGTTAGAAAAAAAGAAAAGCGAACACTGCATGATGTAGTTAAGATCGAATCGACGGAAATATCGTGAGAGTAAGCGTACTGAAAGGAAGTACAACGAGAGTTACGCGTGCCAAGTGAGAAGAAAATAAATAAATTTCAAGAAGTAGGAAGCGAGCAAGTTGAAATATATGCCGCGATATCTCTTTGCATTTTGATCTCTGGTGGATTTACAGTACTGGCATGTACGTTTTCCGGAAAGAGTTCTCTCCCAAGAAAATTGCCGATACCTATCTCTCTTCACAGAGCGCGCGCTGTTCGCAGTTTCGCGTAATTAGATTTTGAGTCGTCGATTGTATACAACCGAGTTGCTGATTGTAACCAAACCGTATCTTCCGTTTTTAGATTTTCAGACAAAGCCAAGCCTTGGTTCTCGGACTCCTCGGAGCAAAAACAGAGAGAGAGAGAGAGAAAAAGAACAAGAGAGAGACTGTCGGCGTTTTACCGCGAAAGGTGAACGACACCGCCTACTGCGAAAGGTGGAGGCTTGTATTTCGTACAACCGCCGGTTTGACGTTGGGACCGGTGCGCCGCAGATTTGTGGGTCAACCGGTAGATGAGAAGGGAAGAGGAAGGACGTTTGTTGTACCTGTTAGCCGACCATGTACGAAAAATTTAAATCCCGCACCAGCAGAGAGCAGGCATTCCAGGAGAAGGGGAGTTTTTTCGGTGTCGTTCACCTTCGCCCGTTCGATGTTTTTTTTATTGTCGAAAATAAGGAATCGTTGTCCTGGAAAAAACGCGGAGGGAAACAACACTGCGCAAAACTGCGCCCGGTCGAGCGTAAAATATTTCAAATATTTAAACACTTAATTGCTCAATCGTGTTTGGTAACGTCGAAATATGCGTACGGTATTTCGCGCGATCGCTTAAATATTGAAAATATTCGAATGTACGCAAATATTTCAGCGGCCACACTTTCAATCCCATCATTTTCCAACAAAAGGAGTGAGAGAGAGAGAGAGAGAGAGAGAGAGAGAGAGAGAGAGAAACAAACGCCGTAAAAGTACCTGCCTGGACACGTACCTGACTGTGGACATTTTTGTTGTTCTTTGGTCTTTAAATACGTATGTTTAATCTTTAAATATAAAATATTTGTACATATTCAACATATGTAGAGGAGAAAATGGTATTATGGCCTCCTTTAATATTTCCGCTATTAGGTGACAAGTTCTAACGATTGCTTATGGAATTATTTATTCAATAACTCGCCGTTGCACAATGACGCTAATATGTCAGTACACAATAATTGGCATTTGTTGTAATGCATTTTTTAAACATTTCTTTCAAAACATTCAAACAAACTTTCGAACATTTCGAAACGTTTTCAAGATATATTTTAGCATTTAATTACACATACTTCCTTGTTCTTTTTAAAGTTGGCGTATTATTACATGAATATATGTACACTTTAATGTTTTGCTCGTTTAACATTTTATGCCGCTGTATACATTTCGAGTTATGAAAAGTTGAACAATAACATGGCATTTTGTGTTAACTTGGTCCTTCACTAAAATCAATTTAATATGACCTCTTTTTCGAGGTTTTCATGTTGAGGCAGTTATTTCGACGAGCCAATAACTCAAGTTTAAAAATCCGTTCGTTTTGTACACAGAAAAAAAGGTAGTCAAATCAAGAATAGATATTATATAAGCAAGAATATTGTAATTTTCTTAGATTTTTGGTTTTAATTTGATTGAAGTTGTATTCATGCAAGTATTACTTGCATTCAATTCAAAAGACTAAAAATCTTCTAAGAACATTATAATATTCTTGCTTATGCATGAGAATCTGTTCTTGAATTGACAAATTTTTTCTTCTTTGATTCAAGGCTTCTTTTTTTCATTGACAAGAATTCTTTTTCATTGATTTAAGACTATTTTTTTATATGTAGAAATTGTCCTTTTGACAGTTTGCATGTACCTTTTGACAAACAAGTCAATACTTACATTAAAAACGGTTATTATTTATTATTGTTGTAAGAGAGTTTATTTAGAATATATAAATTTGTAACAAACACTGTATTTTTTAATCAAAACCAATTTTCTAAATCTACTTTAATAGAGCCACCTGTTCCTTTTCAACCTATTATGTAGTGTCAACACATTTTTATAAAAATAACATCCTAAGTAATACAATTTTATAACTTTGAATTTAAAATCGATTGAACGACATTTTGACGAATGTAACCGTTAAGTTTTTTAATTTAAAACATCGATTATTAACAAATTTACTGTACAAAATGTAAATAGGGAGCTATAATACCACTCTCTTTTCTATACATATTCTATGTTGAAAATTTGAATATTCGTATTCAAAGCCAAAACAACAAAAATGTCCAGGCATCGACATTTTTCCCTTACGAAGCGAAAATCGCAGAAACGTCGAAATTCTCGAGTCCTCCGACTCCGTCTCCCGTCTCTCTCGCGACAACGTACCTCGCAGTTACGTGGAGGAACGGTTTGTCGTTACGAGCGAAGATCTCTCTCTCTCTCTCTTTCTCTCCTCCTCCTCTTATCTCGCACGTGAATGTCGTTCGCGCGTTGCCGGTCGCACCGGTCGATCCCGCGCGTCGATTCCTCCTCGCCGAGTGGCATAGCTCTCTTTTTCGAACCTTGTCGGGTGGCCGCCATATTGACTTTTAGTTCGCTCCGGCGCAACTTCGTTCAGATGGCGGTATTGCGGACGCGGCACAGTCCTCGCGAGTGGGGAGGATCCGGCTAACGGAACCGCAGCCACGCACTGCCATTCTTCCGGCGAAGGATAGAAGCCCGTCGAATCGCCAAACAGAGAACCGCAAGTGGTCAAGCCGGTATCCTCGAAACGCACTTCCCGCAACCAACATGGTCTCTTTCAAGTCCAGTGAGTGTCGCGTCGGTATTTTTCTCGCGGCATCTTCCCGAAAAGAATCGCGTGAAACCGTGTAACGTCGGTATATATGTGTGTGTGTTGCGCGAGTTTAACACTTTTGTTTGGCATTTTAAATACTAAACACGCATCCGGCGCAGTAACAATAGCGGCGAATCGGTATGTCATGGGTTTTCCCAGAGCGCGAAGGAGAAATCGCAACATCTTGATTAATTTTCGGCAATTCGCAATTAACCAGCGTTAATCAAGGCTGTTCCGAAATGTGCTGAGATGAAAATCTATAGTTCGCGCGTTACGTACACTGTGGATTTTCAAAGTCGATCATATAATTTTTCCCTTGGGCGGAAGTATGAAGATTTCAAATGTTCTCAAGTTAGAAATTTATACTCTTCACAAATTCACGCTAAAGAAGAAGATTCATGGCCCCTTCGAGGTTAATAGTGAATCTCCTTTAGCCTGAATTTGTGATAAATGTAAATTTTTTAATCTGAAAACATTTGGAATTTTCACTTTCCACGTTTCCGCCTTTGACAAACAAGTCAATACTTGTCCACCTAGGGAAAAATTACATGATCTCCAGTACTTATATCCAATATTTTCTGCACATTTTCGGAATTTCGGCAGCCCAAATCGTTGACACGATGTCCTTCGAACGCGCATTTGCTTCTCTCTGGTCTCTCTCCCTGTTGACTTTTAATGTTTGAGTACACGTTGATTTCGATTTTGCACGTAGAATGATTTTAGCGTGGGATACGGTTGAGAGGAGGGAATTTTCCGAGCCACATCTCGGAATTCATTATGAATCTCGAGAGGGAAATGGACTTGTAACGATGTTATCAGAGATCATCGTGACGCAACGTTGAGGCGTACAAACATGATAAGCGATAATAATGCATATGTATTTTTATATGTCTCGTCAAACTGACGTTAGCCGTGTCCTTTGCACTATTCTGTAACAGATCCGATGGACGCCACGTGGGTTAAAACTAATCCCACGGGGGAAACGATAGAAGGATGCGAGTCAGTCAAACAAGGAGCCGAAATGCAGCAAAATGTTGACGAGAAAGCCGGTAAGTATACAAACGTATCATTCACATGTCAATAACATATTCTAAACTTATCATAAGCGATAATGTATATTTATATATACATACTTTCTTAAGCTGACACTATTAGTCCGTTCTTTTTATCTCAACTAGCTGCACTAGCTCGAGAAATTCACATACACATTGAAGCGCACGTACGAAATTATGTTTCACAGTATGTGTGTACATTTCTTGAACCAGTGCAGCCAGTTTAGCTGAAAAGAGCATATATGTATTAATTGCACTATTCTGACGCAGATCTGTTCGACGTCACGTCGGTTAAAATCAACCCCACGGGGGAAACGATCGAAGAGCCGGCCGAGCAAGGAGCCGGAAAGCTGCAAAATGCTGGCAAGAAGACCGGTAAAGTATCATGCCGACGCATCATTCACACGTCAGTAACGCGCAAATAACAATCATCTTATTAAATGTGCATTGTGTTGGCGCATTTTTTCGACCATAAAAACCGACCAGATGGATATAAATAAATAGCATCGCAATCTGTCCAACAAAAACAAAAAAGTAGTCTGCGGGAAAGCAGCTCCGGTTTATTAGCACATATGTTTACCTGCCGGCCGAGAGCCTAGTTAAGTCACAACCGAGTCAACAAATAATAAACTGCATAGTCGCGGCTCGATCATGCGAATGTGTATATATGTGGGGTAAAACGCAACGATTGAGCGGCCAGCTCCCGACAGGTTTCCTAAATGACGTCAGACGGATGTAAATAAGATAAACAACGTCGCGATTTGCTGCCCAAGAAAAAGTTTCCGGCTCGGATCGGCGCACAATTGTTGCGTTTCTGCGCATCGCCCAGCAATCACCAACATCTCGATTGACTCTCGGTCTTTGTTTCTCTTCGTTGTTTTTAACACGACTTTCACGTATAGTTGCAGCGACACCATGGCAAGTGGCGACATTCATATGTGCGGTCGTATGCGTCGCAGCATTCATCCTCGTGAACGCGGCGTGGCTATACTCGACGTATTTTCCTCCTCGTTGCATCACCGCGCCGACGTCGATTTCCTCATCCGGCTCTTCAGGCACTTCCGAATACGAGGATCGGTTGTAGATCTCTCCTTGAGAGGACTTTCCTCGTTGAGTATGCAGCAGGTTTTAATGGCTAATGGACATTACGTCTGAAAATCATCATCATTCTTCCGTCATCATCGAGCTCGAATCCGTATTGCATTGCGTCATGTTTACTTCCTTGCATATGCGCGGCGGCGTTCCCGGCGGCTTCAGGTATCGTAAAACAATTCATACGCAACGTCGAAGCGGCTTTGATGGCTTCCTCTCCGAGTGTCACTGTCAATGCGAGCGTTGCACGCTCCGTGCCGTGTATGCGCGCACTTACGCTCCGACTGTGTGCGTGTGTGTGCGTGCGTTGTAAATCTCGATGCAAGCAGGTGAATAACGAAGAAAACCGAATGGAAATATGGAATACATTATATCTCATCCGTCTACTTCTCTAAAGAGAGATGCATGATTGTGAATATGAATGCGATGCGTGTGCATGCGCTCCGTCCATTCGCCTTGCCGCTCGCCGACGAAAATGCGACGATTCTTCGCGATCGTCAACTGCGGTGCTGAAACGTTATCGCCAGATAGCCAAGTCTCTCTCTCTCTCTCTCTCTCTCTCTCTCTCTCTTGCAAAGCGCGTATCCGTGTATTCACGATCGCTGTGATCACCCCGTCGCTTCGAAAATTCGCCAAGAACTAACACAAGATTTGTGCTTTTCAGCTGCAATGAGAATGTGCGCAGTGATCAAATGATTAAAGGCTGCTACGACACTTTTCATCCGTGAGTTTTGCAACGTATCCCGTATTCAATCGGAGAATCGGGTTTTTTCAGAAATCCTCCCAAGAGATACGTTTTCCTTTTCGGATGGGACGCGAGACTCACCGAGGAAAAGTGTCACGGCCTTTAATCATCCGACCATGCACAGGACGACAGTCGAGGAAAACGCAATTCGAGAGCGCAAGAGTGTACAATTGTTGTGTTTCTATTGATATTCAAAATTACTCTTCGGACTCAAAATTCGAATTTAACGAGCGCTGAAAGAAAGACTCACGCCTCTGTTTTCAAAAACCAATGGCCCGTTCCTTATAGCTGCACTGTTGAACCGGTGCAATAAGTTGAAGTGAGAAAACACATACTTATCTCACTTCAGCTTGTTGCAATAGTTCAGCAGTGCAGCCATAAAGAACAAACCATAGGTGGGCGATCGGTACAGTGAACTGTCCGTTCTAGCGAGTATCGCCGCACTTTGAAATAGCACGGCTACGTTTGACGTCGTTTCTGCTGAAAAGAACGCCTCGCACCGCGCGCACGCGCACACACACACACACACTTTTTACGTTAGACTGCGATAGATCGGTTCGGCTAAAAACAACAAGTCTAACACGATATTAGCGCGTCTGCTAACGATAGAACGACGTTGATGTTTGTTGCCGTCACAATTAGTTGGCGCGCGCGGTGTCGTCGCGCGCAGGCGATGAATTCGGGAGCCGTCTGTAACGAGTGTTTTATCAGCCGACAGACGCACACGAGTGTCAATATGTAGTTGCGGTACGCGCGCGCTACTTTCGTATTCAACGCCATTTTTCCTCGTGAAAAGCCTACGCAATCGATCTCTATCTCTAAAAAAAAAAAAACCCCCACATTTATCTCTCTCGCTCACACTTCCGCTAAACTGCCCTCGCCGATCGCGTCGCGCGATCTGCCGCGAAAAATCATTCGGCACGGCTATCGCGCGTTGTTAAACGAGATTACTGCGAAAGTCATATCACCAAGTTCGCGATACAGAGATGATGATTACTGTAGTTAAAAAAAAAAAAAAGCGTTTTTCCAATTTTCCGCGAAAAAAACAAAAAAGTACGGAACAAAATGAAAAAAGAAAAACAATTTTTTTTATTCCCCAAGAGGGAAGAAACCACGGAGAAATAAAAAAAAAAGATTTTTTTCCGAACCTTTCAAGCTTGGTCTACAATATGTTCTTTGCGTCTGATTTCTTGCTCTCTATCTTTCTACCGTAATAAATCTATTCTTCTATTTGTGGAAAAAAAAGCTAGCAAGAAACAAGAGACAAAAAGCACATTGTAGATTAGGCTTCGAAGCTATAATAATTACGGCAAAAGCAAGCAATTGGTCCTTTTTTCGCAAGGAATTTGTCTCGCAAGATCTCCATAATGTATATATGACACTGGATATTTGAAATTTCAGGTGATCGCAGAAACGGGGCGGTGATTCCGCGAGAAATCACCGAGGGAACGAGAACGACTCTCGCTTGAGACGAACGCATTTTACTGAGCGCGATTACCGTAATCACTCGCTGTTACCGTAACCGATTCTCGACGTGGCTTCGCCAGTCACTCGTATCTGCGCGCTCCTGAGAGTCTCCGTTTCGCTCGCTCGCTCGGCCGGTCCATTAACGCGTGCAATTTGCAGATCCCGAGATCAACGAGACATTGTCGGGGGTGCGGTTCGTCCAAAAACGCGAGTCGGCCCTATGGACTTCGGAAACGCGAGAAGTCCGTCTATGGTTACCGGTGCGCTACGTGATTGTCAGCCAGACCTTCACGAACAACTGTTCCTCGTTCATCGAGTGCTCCTCCCAAATGAGATTCATTCAGCATTATCAAATGGAGAAGACGGGATCGTTGAACATCATCTACAACTTCCTCATCGACGGCGGAGCCTACGTCAGCAGGGGTTGGGATGTCGCGGGTAGGCACACTATAGGCTACAACCGCAAGAGCATTGGCATTTCCTTCATCGGCACGTTCGACAGGACGCAACCGTCGAAGGTGCAACTAGACGCGCTGCGAGCCGTGATCGACAACTGCATCGAGACCGGCAAGCTCACGCACGACTGCAAATTAATCGCGAGGCGGCAGCTTTTGAGGGATTCAACTCTGAACCCCGGAGACGCTCTGTACGACGCCATCAAGGCATTGCCGTATTGGTCGCCGCTTTGATCATTCATTGACAGAGCGCGGACAGAACCGGAGGAATCGCGAGAAAGAGCTGTGAGAGAAAGAGGGAGAGAGAGAAGAAGACGCGTTTTCCGCGTTGCGTTCGCCGGGCTATCCCGACGATTTCGAGAGATATCGATTTACACTTATCTAAACTGCACCTCTGGTTCGCTCCTTCTTAAGGTACCGTTCGAATTACGAGGTTATCTCCGCATTATCTCGCCGGCACTTGACTTGCGATACCGTACGGGAGAGAGTCACGTTGCACCTTGATAAAACGCCTTTCTCGTGATTTCGCGCCTCTCTCTCTCTCTCTCTCTCTCTCGGTCGCATGACACGTTAAATCATTGTACCGATGGTGATCGCACGGTGTACGAATAAAGAGGAGGCATGCATCAACGAGAGAGAGAGAGAAGGAGAGAGAATATATATTCTTCATGTGTACGATTATTGCGAGCGAAAACGCAAAACCCTCTCCTCCTTCTCCCTCCATGAAGAGCGTGTCGCACGGCGCGCGTTTTTCAACACAGCGATCCGTCAATCAATAGCGGCGGGCGCGCGGTAACGCGTCGCTATTGCCAGAAACAAATAGCTCCGTGTGTTTATCAGGCGAGAGCGCATATCCGTATGCACGCGACACGGTTGCTTAAATAAGGAACGACAGACTCGCTCTGCCAATTATTCCTCAAGGATATTAACATTTCAGCTGCGCCTCCACCTCCTTGCGCGAGGAGAGACACAGTGGAAATACCCTCTACCGGGTGGGACACGAGCGAGAGATGACTCTTTATCGGCGCGCTTTCCACCCCTCGCACGGTTACATTCCGTGACGTGACTTTACTTAGCTGGAATCGAGAGCCATTTGTAAACCGTTGAATCGTTACGTTCGCGGAATAAAGGAGCAGTGAAATGAAGGTTACGAGTGATACAACGTTCGAAGCGAATCTTCACATCAAAGCGGCTACCGATGAATGAGGTCTCGGAGCACAAGCGTGCGTAATGGCAGGAGGTTTTGGCACCTATCGTTCTCGGTGCGTCATGTAAGCCGTCTCTCTCCTTTTCTCTCTCCTTTAAATCGCCTGGGGGGAGACCGTTCGTGTTTTATCTCCGAGACAGACAGAGTGGTTTCGTACGATTCGGCGTACCGACTGACTGACGGTTTTTCCGCGTTACATGTCGATATATCAATTCGTACGAGAAGCGTGACTATTAGTTCTCGAGTTATACATAGAAGAGATAGCATTAGCACAAGCGTCCGTTTCCGTGCCTCGGCGGCGATGATTCGCGGTTTCAAAGAGACTACTACACGGCAGAGCGCAGAGGCTCTGCCTCACACTAACCTTTGAGCTGCGGCAACTGCTGAAGCTCGACGTCCTGGGAGTTGCGGTAGCGGGAAGAGCCCTGCGACTTCTTGGACTTCTTCTTGAGGGATCGCTTGGCGAAGGGGTCTATCCGGTCCACGAAATTCCCGGGCAGTGACGACATTTTGGCATTAAAACGGAGGCACTGTGGGGAGTCGGCGGTGCTTCAGCGGTGAAGCTTCTGCGAGCTTGGTGTGGTGATGCACGTGTTCTCGTCGTCGGTGGTGCCTCGGCGCTCACACCCGCGATCCGTGTGTCTTCGTCCTATCCCCGGAGAACACAGAGCGTCTCGCTCGACTAGAAACGACCGCCTTCACCCCGAGGAGGCCGCATTCCGTCGTGACAGCGAGGGCGACGACGACGACGGTGAGGACGAGAACGTTGATGGCCACGAATTCACTGCACTCACAAACGCGAGAGTAACGCTAACTGATGCGTGACAGCGGTCACATCAAGTCGAAAGAGCCCACCGGTACTCGCCCGGATCCACTGATACGCGATATTGCGCCACGGGCCCCGCTGGTGATGGTCGACGCGCACGTGGTGACGACGACGCCGATCTGTGTGTATATGCGTGATGTTTCACGCCGATTGCTCCTTCCGTCGACCAAGTCGGCGACTTTTACTGTTCACGCGATCCTGCCTCGTCGAGCGTGTACGAGTCGATCGCAGCGGCGGAAGTAGACTTGGTGGTAGAGGAGGCAAAGCGGGAATCTTGTAGCTTTCCCAGTGTTATTAACGTTAACAATATTGTAGACGACAGAAGCAGATCGTCCAGTAATAACGGAAGGTAGTTGACCAATTCGTTGACGAATTCGAGAAACATAGCACACGGGTGAATGAGTCTTCCAGTTACCGTAGGACAATGACGACGACGCTCACGCGGCGTTGTTGCTCAGAAGGGCGAGTGAGCGTGCGAGCGTGGTAAAACGGATGATCGTCCCCCGAGAATTCGACCAGAATCCCAGTTCGTGCAGCGCGCGGCACCTCCGTAACCTCGCCGGCAGCACTCGCCGCTGCCTCCGGCGCGAAGGGGCGCGATGATCTCTCGCTAGGCGTTGTCACACGCGGACGCACGCCCTGTCTGCTCGTCCGTCCGTCCGTCCGTCGGTCCTTCCTTCCTTCCTTCCGCGAGCGGTGCTCCCACCTACACGGTAGCCTCCGAGTGCGTGTTCACAGCCTGGTCGAGCTGCGCTACCTGCCCGAACACAGCCGGTGCCTTTTCCGGCTGCCCTCTTCGACGCTAGACTCACGACGATCGTAGGGTGGAGGATTCGATCGACGACGGCGGCGCCGGTCGGTGGTGGGTAGCCGTGGTTGGCTGTTTGGTTGGTTCGTTGACTGCTCGATCGGTCGCGGTCGGTGAAGACTCCTCTCGCTCTCTTAACGTGGTGCACCGACTTGCTTGCTCACTCACTTACTCGCTTGCACGCACGCACGGAACGCACGTACGCACGGTACCGAGTCTCTCGCGCGCGCCGAACGGAGTCGCCGCGCCGGCAGCGGCGGCAGCGAAGAGAGAGAGAAGCACCGTTACGAAATAGAACGACTCGCGTATAGCTGGGCGCACGTCCGTCGTCGTATAGTAGTAAGTATGGCCGCGGGTAATGTGGCCGTCGTCGCCACACACTCTCACACACGCACGCACATACACACGAAAGAGAGAGAGAGAGCACACACCCGCGCGGCACGCACACACGGTACACACGCACACACGGGGCGCACGCAGGCACGCACGATGCTCGATCGCCGCTCTGTTAATCCACACGGAGCGAAGCGCGTTAACGGGTGGGCACGAGACCGAGAGAGGGAGAAAGGGAGGGAGAGAGAGAGAGAGAAAGAGAGCGCACGGATGTCTCAAAGCTCAGTGGCTGCCTCGGCGAGATCTTCTCTTTCTCACGCGGCGGCCGTCGAAGAACTCCTCGCGCTCGCACGTCCGTACGCCAACGCGACGATGACGTTAGGGTAGACGTACGTTTGGTGCCTCGTCGTAGCACAGCACTCGGCCGCCATCAGCTGCTACTCGCCGCGACGTGGGGGCCTCTCTCATTTTCCGGCGGAACGACCGCGAGCGACCGTCAGGCGCCGAAAACCGCCGAGACGTGGCCGCCCGACATCGCCCTGCGTAGCTGCTGCTGCGTATCCTCCGCCTGTCTACTCGTCGTCCGACTGACCGCCGCCGTTGCTGCTGGTATATCGCTTCTGGTGGTACTGGTGCTGCTGCTGCTGTATCGCGCCACGCACCGCTCCCGCGAGAGAGAATATCGCCGTCCGTCGCACCGCGGCAACACCGACCGCGCCAGCCAGGCCCACACCGATCGCGACGATCTCGCGGATACGAGGGAGCGAGCAAAAAAAAACGAACCACGAGCTGTATCGCGCGCACGCACCGCCGCCCTCTTCACTTATCGAAAATCCGTCAAGAGGTGCCTTGTGTGCCTGAAAATAGTAATGTGCGCTCGGCAATCATCGGCCGGAGATGGCCGATCGCCGGCGGACGCGCACGAATTCGGCAGGTGGCGCGACGTAGCCGCGCCGTCGCGCATCAACTTTTCAAGCGCGCCTGCCGGGCCGCCGCGCGCCCGGCCAATGCCGTGCGCCGCCGCCTGCCACCTCATTGGCCCGTGCTCGCGCTCGCGATCGATGCGCCGGCCAGTGCGCTGAAACGGAAAACAGCGTCCCGCGCACGACTTCGATCCGTTACCGACGAATCCGGCTTAAAGCCCCGTTCAGACGAGCTCGCCTTCCTGCGCGCCGGCGTGCCCACGGAAAACTCGACCAATCGTCAGTCCGATATGGTCCGCATCATCGTGCTTTGAACGGACCTTTATCGTTTTACAGATGCGCACCGAGTTGGGCGTTCGATTTTCTCTCTCTCTCTCTCTCTCTCTCTGCCTTGCTCGTTCGCTCGCCTTCGTGAATTTTTGACCACGACTTAGTTCACGAGAATTCCGAGCCATTTGGAGTTGGAATTCGAGAATTTTCAAGAGACCCCGGTGACCTGGCAGGATCATGTGATTTTGAGACATTTCAATGTTCGGATATTCTCGGTAGACTCGAAAATCGCGGAAGCTGAGCATTAAGCTCGGGCAAGACGACGGAACTTGTATGCTAAGCACTCACTTCAATATTGAATTAAAATACTATTTATAGAGGATATCGTGAATCACATGCATAAATGAATCATGACAATTAAATTTTGCGGATTGGTTCTATAAGAATAATTTCAATTCGTACGTAAAATCTAAATATCAAAGCTTATGATGTCTTTATAAATATGAGAAACAAAATGTTAGTATTTTATGATCTGCTGAAATTTTCCGACGGATTTTCGAGTTTCAATAATATCGAAAGTGATACGATTTCGTCTGTCGTTTAGAAATAATTCAAGACGCGTTAAGAGAATGTCTTGCATTTTTCTATATAATTCTGCAAGCGACGGCACCTATCTCCTTCGCCCTCATTATAAAAAACGACATACCGATATTATTAGTTTATGCGAAATGTCAAGTGTCGGATGAGTTTTTGCCTCTGATATAATTAACAACTCTTTAGTTAGTACGACAATTCCGAAACATTAATTACATCGTCGTAACGTGAAATCAGAACCACAAAGATCTCGTCTAAAAACGGATGCATATTTATTTATAAATAATTTGTCTCTCTTACGTCACACACGTTTCGTCGATCCTCATCGGCGATTTCGTGGATACCACGCGATGTGACGTTATCGACGGAATGCCGTCGTTCGCAACGAATTTTTAGCAAGCGACGCTACGTCATGCGCGACTCGCAGTTGTGACCAATGTTGCCAACTTATTTTCTGTCATTTTTAGTTTATTTAAATGACAACCAGAGTGCAAAAATCACATTTTAGCTGATTTTCGTTTTAATGTATTTTCTCGTTATTTTTAATTTTTCACTCTGAAAAGTCATTTGAAAGACGAAATTTAAAATTGAACGGTCACCATTTTTCGTTTAACCCGAAAAATCTTGACGAAAATTAACGGCAACATTAATATAACTAATGTGGTTAAAAAGTAACTTCAAGCTTTAAAATGCTTTTTAAACGATCTCGATAGCATCATTAATGCAAAAGTTACAACCTATTGAATTTCGCCTGTTTTATTACAGTGGAAAGTATGTCTGCACAAGCCCTTGAGTCATATTACTGAAGAAATAGAAATACTTCTGACTCGATCGTTTATCTACAGAATTATTAGACCCACTATTTCTGTAATTTATTTCAAAGAGAAAACTTTAAATTTTTTACGCATTTGTTAACGAATGTCGTTGTACGTGCACATAATTACTACTTTTGGCTTATTTCTGGTTTATTTTAGAGATATATGACAGATTTTTTATTTCTCACGTTGGCGACACTGGTTGGTAACACGAGTGAAAAAAATGTTTGGCCTCCGCGGCGTGCGTGACATGTCGATGATGTTTTTGAATTCTCAGCGCTCGGGATCCGCGGGAGATCAGCTGGACCGTCTCGGAAGATTCTTGTAAACAAAGGTAACCCGATACATTATCGTGCGATCCAGCTGAAAATCGGGGAGAGATGAGCGATAACGCAACCTGTCGCTCCCCGCGCGGCACCTAACCAACAAGCCGAGCACGAACATGAACACCCTCACGCGATGTCCCGGTATATACTGCGGCCGGGAGCTGCTGCCGGACGGGAATTGGAGCGAATGCGGCGCTTGTCCTCGCGGTTTTCGCGTCAACGCCTCTTCGGCGTGCATACCTTGCGACGACGCGCCCATGTTCTACGACTGGCTCTACCTGGGCTTCATGGCCCTGCTGGTGCTGGTGCTGCACTGGTTCTGCATCGACAAGGTCTCCAAGCGCCGCAACATACCCAAGGAGGTGATCGCTCTGCATTTGTCAGCGTTACTCGAGGTACTGCTGGCATCCCTTATAGCGTTACAACTGACGGACCCCATCGGTACGTTCACCATTAAGTCGTGCAGCGCAAAGAGATTGTCCGACTGGTACACGTTACTGCACAATCCCAATCCTAATTATGAGGCGACACTACATTGTACACAGGAAGCGGTCTATCCGTTGTTAGTACATGTTTTACTTGACCTTTGTCAGTATATAGAATATCCCAGACCAACAGGAACAAACTTTATGAAGTTATGAATGACACCAATTTTTGGATTACTGATTAAAGTAGCCTCTATGGCCCTTTTCAATCATTAATAACTTTTGCGTGTTGTTTGCAAAGTAGTACAAAACTTTTTTGTTCACCCAATCCGTTCTACTCTCATAAAGTTCACCCCTATTGGTTTGGGACACCCTGTATACTCAACTATCGATTTGGTAGGAGCACACTTTACATGCCTTCAATTAGTTACGTTTTGATTCCAGGTATACTATAGTCTTCATTTTCTACGCCCTAGGAGTAATTCTGATGTTATTGATAAGGCCGTTAATAGTTAAGAAATTTTTGCCAAAGCAAGGCAAGCTCTCTATCTACGCAGCTCTGTACTTCTACCCAATCCTGGCGTTGCTTCACGCAATAGGTGGAGGTCTGATATGTATGTCGCGTATACTATATATATATATGTTATTGTAAAATTGATAGAGAGAATGATACATTAAGTATATGCTAATTACTTGTTTCGGTTTTTCTTGACAGATTACTCATTCCCGTATATCACCATCATTTTATCAATTCTGTCGAATGCAGCGCATTTCGCCTTCAAACTAAATCAGAGGATGAAGTCGTTGTTGCTGAGTTCCGTTTCGGATATAAAAAATGTGATAGTAATTTTGGGCCATTGGCTGTTGCACGCATACGGCGTGATAGCAATCGCTACTCTTCGCGGGATCAGCATTCATCCTGCGATGTTAGCTTTAGTGCCGTTACCCGCTTTGTTTTATATTATTACTGCGAGATTCACCGATCCGCATAAGCTCAATATTGAATGAAGTGAGTTTTGTATGTCTTTCATGCGAATCTTACACGTCTCTTGTAGATCTAAGATACTGTCTTGTATAATATATCTAAAATAATATATCTGTACCTTAATGAAGCGCAAATATATACATTTCTTCAACTTTTCAGCTGGAAAAGTCTCTGGAAAATTTGTAAACGTTTCAAAAATTTGAAATTCGTTGTGCCAATTCAAACATATTTTATGTTTTAATTACTAGTTACTGTCGATTAATGTAGTATGTTATTTTGAAATGTTTATTTCAAAGACATTCGTTACTGAAAAGTGAAGGAATGTGTGTTTGGCTCTTTTTCTTCCAAGATGTATGTAGTATATTAATATAGTTCATAAATCTAAAACATTGTGAAATTTCATGTGCAATATACTAAGATTTTGTAATAAAAATGCTAATAACTTAGAAGTATCCCTTAATATTGATCCTCTTACTCAAGACTCTGAAAAAAAAATCAAGTTACACATATTTGTTTGCGATATATGCACATTATATTTCGTCATATCACTTTTACATTGCTGACATATCAAAATGCACTATTCCTTTCGTGCACGCTTTGACATATATAAATTTTGTAACTTTCTTAAAATAATCGAGTAAATGAGATTAACTGGATATCACCGTTGGTTGATATAGTAATTTACACTCGTGAGTATTGTAGAAACATGTTACGATAACAAGTTCTCATATTATAGTAAGTAGAATAACATTTATTAGAATATGTTGAATTAAAATTTTTTGACCATGAGTTATGGGGAAACATGTTAGGATTGCAAGTTTCACATCTAGAACTATAAGAGTCGAAAGACGGGACCAAAAACGCAGTTAGAATTCACCAATCACCGTTGCGATAGTAATTTTCAATCGTGAGTATTGGAGAGACATGTCAGGATAACAAGGTCTCATATTATAGT